TGCAATGCTTGGTAAGAAATGTACGCATTATCCTGCCCATGCAATTGTAACCCCTCTGTACAGTATGTTCACAAATAAAATAAAATAAAATAAAATAAATCTACAAGTAAATGAAAATGGGTAAAAAAAGAAAACAACAACAAAAACCTTGCACTTCATAAATTATACAGTTCTCTAGGTATTCTCCACACAGTGAGAACAAGGGGAATGTACTAAAAGAGAAATACACAGATGTAATACCTATGTGCATGTGATCATAAAAAATATTGTTTGTCAAAAAAGAACTCCAGGAAATGGGAATAAGAAAGATCTTTATGACTGTTTTTGTGGGCATGGATTCACAGAAATGGTAGAAAAAAGGGTGAACAAATACAGCAGTGGTACTCATTAGACGCTATGTTGAAAATAAGCTATAGAGCTGGAGGGTGAGGAGGGGAGAGAAAAATAGGGACAGAACGGGTGACATTGTTCAAAAAGAAATGTTCTCTTCATCTTACCTATGTAACTGTAACCTCTCTGTACATCATCTTTATAATAACAATAAACAATACATCAAACAGAAAAAAGAGTGGAAGAAGGTAGTCCATGCAAATGAAAAGGAAAAGAATGCAGAAGTATCATTATCATATCACATCAAACAGATTTTAATCAAAACAACCAAATGTACAAATTTTGTAATGCAATGATGAAGCAGTAAGATCAACCAGATAACATAACAATTGTAAAATTATACAACTCATGATTAAAGCACTTAACTCTATATAAGCAGACTTTGAGCTTATCCTCCATACAATAATAGCTGAAGATTTCCTAGAGAGAAACTTAGACCAAGTAAACAGGGAGGTATCAAAATTAACTTTCACCCTTGCTTAGATGAGCCTCACATCCACCTACAGAAGGTTTCACACAATGTCTGAATAATCCATCTCTCATCAACATATTGATCATTCTCCAGGAGAGATGGGCTACAATACAAAACATCCAGATTTTAAAAGTATGAAAAGTAAATTGAACACATCTACAAACCACACTGTGGTAAGGCTAGAAATTAACAAGGAATCACAGAAAGAAAATATGCCCATAACATAGAAATGAAATGATTTGTTTCTCGCATTTAATTTAATAAAAAGTATTCAATATAATTAAATAATTAATACATGTTAAATGATTAGTTTTTCAAAGTATATGTCTAGAAGTCTACTGAACTTTGGAAGAATATCACAATCTATACATATAAAGAGAGCAATGAAATGAAACTGTAACAACCTTTATTGAAATCAGGAATAGAAATGGTATACTGGAGAACCTATGTGGCATCTCAAGGAGCTAAAGAAAACACCAAAATTTAGTAGAAGGAATGAAATAATGAAAATGAAAAAGAACTAGAGACTAAAAACCATACATAGGAGACTGGAAACAATCAATATAGCCAAAAGGAGGTACTACAAGAACAACAGGGTGATAAAACTGAAAAAAAAACAACAAAATTCCACATATCAAAATACACTTCCAATTGTTCTGGATGCCAGAATCAGGATAGTGAAAGTACTTATACTAGTGCAAAACCATGTAAAGAAGATTCAATACAGTCTATATCAAAATTGCTGAGGAAGAACAAATGCAATAATGATGTACACAGACAATGTTGGAACTGATCTGTACAGCTTGGTGGGGGGTTAGGGGAAAAGGGAAAATAGGAAAAATTTGAGGAAAGGGGCAACAAGGTTGACAATAAATGTACTCATAACATTACTTATGTAACTAAAACCTCTATGTACATCACCTTGAGAATAATATATAAATAAAAAATATATATAAATATTCTGAGATTAGTCATATTAAATGAGAATTTCTTTATTTCCTTCACAGAAATAAAAAAGGCAAAACAAACTGTTATGAAAAGGAACCCGCAATTAGTCTGGGCTATCTTAATACAAAAAAAATCCAATCAAGGAACAAAAACTTGTGATGAAATGTATTCATTACGTTTCTCATATAACTGAAACCCCTCTGTACAATATCTTTACAATAAAAATATCTATTAAAATGTAAAAGATTTAGAAATAGAAATCACAACTGAAAAAGGATATTCAATTAATTGGGCAATCAGGACACCCATTAACCATTCATTAGCCCTGAGAAAACTTGAACTTTTGGTAATGGAATATAAAAATTAAAGTGTGGAGATCTTTAAGAAATTAAAACTATCTCTACTAGTGACTTATACCTGAAATCTTAACTAAAGAAGAAGGTGACAACTAAAGATCCTGAGTCAAAGCAAACTGTCAGAGAAAAGTCCATGCCATATTTTATCTCCAGTCAAGCAACAAAGAACTACAAAAAGGTGTAGTTTAAGTGGTATATTGTCAGTTTTGAGACAAAAATGCATGCAAAAGTCAAAAGTAAGTGAATCACGAGTGGCTTATTCCTAGCTATCTCAGAAAAGTGAAACAGAGTACAAGAAATTAGAGATATGGGAGGGAAAAAAGATGTGTGACACTATATGGAAATGTTTATAAACAAAAGAGTGAATATAATCAAAGTATGTGATATGAGGTGTGGAACTAAAACGTGGACCAAATACTTGGCACAAGCATCCTATTATATCAAATTTGGCAAGCATCATCTAACCTCAGTGGGCATAGACATGAGTCAAATCTCTCACCTACTGATGTCTAACTGCAGTGCACTATTTGGCTACAAGAAACCCTTTGTCAATAAATTCTATCTGGAGTCAATAGCGTACATAAAATGCTACTAACCTAGACAAGGCTTTACTTGTATCTAGGCTTAGCAAAGAAACATCCATGGGCTAAAAGCATATTACACTACTTCTCTATATTAGCACCTTAAAAGAAGTGCTTAAATATATTTTGGAAAATTAAAAGAATGAAACTCAGCAAAACATGGGTAAATAGTGTGGAATATAAAGAATAAGGGAAGCCAGACAGTAGTGCTTCACACCTTTATTCTCAACTACTAATAAGGCTGAGGATCATGTTTTCAAGGCAGCCTGGGCATGGATATCTGTGAGTCTCTTATCTCCATTTAACTACCAAAAGATGCCAGAAGTGAAGCTGTGCTTCAAATGCTAGAGCACTAGTCTTCAACAAAAATGTTCAGGAACAGCTCACAGGCCCTGAGTTCCCAGTACCAGCATGAAAGTAAGAAACATAAACATATCAGTGACATATAAAATGAATCCATGTATTTTCTATAGTACACAAGAGAGTAATTCCTATCCTGAGATTTGTGCTCTCAATGGTGGGCAGCTGCCTCTGGCTATAGTTGTCATAACAGCACTTAAAACCAGTGCCAATGATAAAGACAATTATATATTTTTTGCAATAAGAATCAGATAGTTTGAGAGAATTCCTTGAAGTTCTATGCAATCATTTTTCTTTCCTTTTCTGTTTCTTTTAGTATACCACTTATTAGTGAAACTATGAGTTACAGACAAAAACTTTAAGAATATGAATGTGCACAAGTGGAAAGAACTAATCTTTGGAACATAAAATTCTCCCACAAAGAAACTTTCATAATGCTGAGCTATCTGGTAACCCTGGGTGGTGGAGCATAACTGACATGAAGCAATACCAAAATACATAGTTTGGAACAATAACTGCTTGTTTACACTAAGAATGTGTGACTGTAATAGTGTGTGTGCATAGGAGGATGTGTGATTTTGCCTGTACTAGGGCATGAAATCAGTGCCTGGACACTGATTTGTTTTTGGCACAGCTAGAACACTGTTACATGAGCCACAACTTAATTTCCAGCTTCTGGCTAGTTAATTGGAGATAAAAGTCTTACAGATTTTCCTTCCTGGGCTAGCTTCAAACTCCATCCTCACATATCTGCCTTATGAGTATTTGATATTACAGAAATGAGCTGCCATAAGAAATTTTATCAATATTCTCTCTCTCTCTCTCTCTCTCTCTCTCTATATATATATATATATATATATATATGTATATGTATTACTGGCCTAGCGGTAAACAAATAGAGTGGCAACCTTTTAATCCAGAACAATGCCAGTGAATCCAGTTGATTATAATAACATTACTTCATTTTCCACAGTGACAGCTGAAATGGAGGAGATACAGGTATGCTGGAGAAAAGTAAACAACTTATAAATATGGAAGGAGAAACTACTTGGAAGGAAATGGAGCCCTCTCCTGCCAGCAGGCAGAAAATCAGTCAATAAGAGATGCAAGGCAAAATAATGAAACTGAGCTTCTCTTGGAGCAATAAGAATGGAGGTCAGTATAGAGGAGACAGAGATCATTCATGTGCACACCCAGAGTTCCTTCACCCATGGAACGTGCTCAGAATAAAATAGTAATAGGGTTAAAATCTGAAATTACTTACAACTTGTTGTCTTCTTGCCTGGAAGCATGGCTGTTACTGTGATCTATTCCCAAAGTGTACATGGGGAAAATCCCAGTTATCATCACATCTCCATCCATGTGTGCTGGCTGCTTCATTGTAGAAAAGCAGGTAGTGTCAGCCAAGGACCTGACAGGGAGGGGAAGATGGAGAAAGAGAATTATTAAAGTGAAAATGTACATCCCTGAAGCATCTGCCAAGCAGAAATTCTAGCTGGAAGTGAGGATCACAATTTCACAGATATTCTTATATCTTTGTATCTGTCCATATGTGTCTTTATTGACAGGGATCTACACTATAGCTTACCTCTAATTAAAGTCTCTCTGAGTCTTCAGAAGTAATGTGTAAGACTATTCCCAGGGGCTATGCATTAGTAGCCCTGCATCAAGGAGAAAAACACAAGTTAGAAACATGTTTTCAGATTTGCCTTCTTCAGTGCAGGTGCTATGATTTCATCCAAACCACAGATAGTGAGACCCCAGAGATGGAGTAATCTTAGTTGTAACTTGTCCAAAGTCTGTGTCAAGAAAGTATTTGCATGAAAGTCATTTGGGATGATGCAACTGGATTGCATGAGATGATGCCATAACATGTGAATGGTGAAATGGCCAGAAAAAGTGTATGTCTCTGAGTTATCAAATGAATTATGAGGACATTATAGTTAAGAGTGTCAATTTACATATACCATATCCAGGCAAATATCCTGTCTTTTGATATCTCATAATTTCAACACCATAAAGATGCCAGCAGTATCCAGAGGAAGATGACAGAGGAGAAGCTGGGGGCTAATGAAGCTCTCCATAGAATGCAGTTTTAATTAATATAATTCATCACATCAACAAGAGCAAGGATTAAAACCATATGATTATCTCAATAGATGCAGAAAAAGCATCTGACAAAATCCAACACCCTTTTAATGATGAACGGTCTGGAAAAACTAGGAATCCATGGAACATTCCTCAATATAAAACGGCTGTATATTACAAACCTACAGCTAACATTTTACTTAATGGTGAAAAAATCAGTCATTTCCTCTAAACTCAGGAACAAGATAAGGATGCCCACTCTCTCTACTTCTCTTCAATTTAGTACTAGAATGGTCAGCTACAGCAATAAGACAAGATGTAAACATAAAGAGGATCGAAATAGGGAAAGATGAAGTAAAACTCTCCCTCCTCACAGACGACATGATCTTGTATTTAAAGAATCCCACAGGCTGCAGTCCCAAATTACTTGAGCTGATTTGAAACTTTGGCAAAATAGCAGGGTATAAAATTAACCCTCAAAAATCAATGGATTTTCTGTATGCCAACAATGAGAAGATCTCAATTGAAATCAGGAAAGCAATTCTTCTTTTGTAACTAAAGAAGTGAAGTATCTCTTCGATGATAACTTTAAAAACCTGAAAAAAGAAATCAAAGCAGAACTTAGGAAGTAGAAAATCCTCCCATGCTCCTAGATTGGAAAGATCAACATCATGAAAATGGCAATACTTCATGTGACACCTATCAATATCCCAACCTCATTCTTCAAGGACATAGAAGAAGCAATCCAAAAATTCATATGGAACAATTAAAGACCCCGAATAGCAAAAACAACCCTTAACAGAAAGAATAGTGCTGGAGGAAGATCCATACCAAATTTGACACTCTACCACAAAGCCATAGTAATGAAAACCGCTTAGTACTGGCACAAGATAAGAACTGGGGACCAATAGAATAGAACTGAAGACCCAGAAAAGAACTCAGATACCTATAGCCAAATAATATTCAACAAAGTAGCCATAAAAATTAGAATGGAAGAATGACAGCCACTTCAGTAAATGGTGCTAATGAGATGTAGAAGATGCTATGTCTATGGTGATAAATAAATTTTACAATTTAGGCCAGGGGAGAGGGGTAATGTAGTCGTGGAGATGGGAGGGAAGGAAGGGTAGGGGGAAAACTAAGGAAGAGGCAAGAATGCATAGTAAGAAATGTACTCATTACCTTTCTCATGTGATTGTAACCCCTCTATACAGTATTTTCACAGTAAAAAAACTTTTTAAAAAAATAAACAATAAACAAAATATACTTAGAACTAAAACAATTAAATCCCTAACAACTAATCCTCAAAGAAACAACTGCCCGATAAATAAGTGGGCTAAAGATTTAAAGAGAAACATCTCTGAAGAGGAAATAAGAATGGCCAATAGATACATGAAGAAATGCTCAACCTCTGTAGCCATAAAAGAAATACAAATCCGAACAATACTGAGATTCCACATCACCCCAGTTAGAATGGCTATAATCAAGAACTCTAATAATAACAGATGCTGGAAGGGATGTGGCCAAAAGGGAACCATACTGCCTTGTTGGTGGTAGTGTAAACTTTTTCAAACACTTTGGAAAGCAATATGGAGGTTGCTCAAAAGACTCCCCATAGAGCTCCCCTATTACCCAGAAATCCCACATTTGGGAATTTACCCAAATTATCACAAACAAGGCCATAACAAGGCTCCCAGCACAACTATGTTTATCACAGCATTATTTGCTTAGATATGAAACCAATGCAAATGCCCCTCAGTGGATTAATGGATCAAGAATATATGATATATATGCATATATATAGATACATATATGTACCTATATATAATATATAGATATAGATTTATAGCTGTATAGATATAAAATGGAATTCTATGCCTCTATCAGAAAGAAGGACATCTCCCCATTGGTTAGGAAATGGAAAATCTTGGAAAAATTATATTTTGAAGTAAGCTAGGCCCAAAAAGACATAGGTCCCATGGTTTCTCTTATTTACAATAACTAGTACATATCTAGGACAAGCACCAAAGTTCAAAATCTATGTACATATGACCATATAAGATGATTTTTTATTGTGAAAATATGGTCTATTTTGGAAAATGTTCCATGTGCTGCTGAGAAAAAAACGTGTATTCTGATGCTGCTGGGTGAAATGTTTGGTAGATGTCTGTTAAAACTAGTCTGTTAAAACTAGTCTAAACCATTATGTTTAGATCTGGGGTTTGTCTGTTGAGCTTTTGCCAAGTTGATCTGACTAGTGGGGATAGTGGTATGTTAAAGCCCACAGCAATTAATGTCTTTGGATCTATGTGAGATATGAGGAAAAGTAGTGCTTCTTGGATAAATTTGACAAATAGACATTTAGACTTGCAATTTCCTCCTGAAGGAGAGATCTCTTAATTAGTATGTAGCGACCTTCTTTATCACTTCTCACTAAATGTAATTTGAAGGCTATTTTATGTGATATTAGGATTACAACTCCCGCTGTTTATGGGGGCCATTTGCTTGGTAGATTTTGTTCCAACCTCTCACTTTCAAAATCTATTTGTTTTTATGGACAAGGTGTGACTTCTGAAGGCAGCAGATAAAAGGATCTTGCTTTTTTATCCAACTAGACAGTCTATGTTTCTTAATTGGATAGTTAAGTCCGTTAATGTTAAGAGATAGGGCTGAGAGGTGTTTGTGAATTCCGGCCATTTTATCCACCTTCTAAGGCGCTGTGGCATCTGGGTTCTTCCTATGGTTCTTGGATTCTCATTTTGGGTGTGGTTTCTTGGCCTTTATTGTG